GCGGTACGCCGCCTTGCTGTTGCTGTTCGGCACCGCGCTTGAGACGGAGCCACGGGTTGCGTTGCGTGCGTGATCGGCCCGCGCCCGAGCCATTGCCGCGCTACCGACTGCACAGTTGCAGACGGCGGCGCTGTACAGCACAACGAACGCCTCCATCGCCGCGCCGCTTACGGGAATGCTGCAGTCGCCGACGCACACAGGTGGCGGTGCAACCGCTTCCTGCAGCACGGCCGGCCATGACGCGGTAGCGGTGTGGAGGGCGAGCAGGAGCGCAGCGTACGCCTTGGCGTCGCGTGGGCCGGTCGCGGCGTCGCTGTAGAGACTGGGTGGCGACGCCGCGTACGATGTGATGGCGTTGAGCGCCGCGACAGTTGCAGGCGTCGGGGTAAGGCCGACGATGGCGAGCGTGTCGTGCAGCAGCGTGCTCCACTGCACTGGGTGGTCGCGTGTAGCCGCTGCGAGCATGTCGGCTGCGTCTCTCAGTGGGGAGGAGCGTGTGCTATGACTCGCTGGAGTGCTGCGGGCCTGATGGTGCNCTACTCTCTCTCTCTCTCTCTCTACGTGTGGGATCAACTGGGCCACCGCAAGTGTGTGGGAGAGAGTGTGAATGGGAGGGAGACAAGAGGCGGTGCAGGCACTGCCATGAGGCATTGACGGTGGGAAGAGAGAGCGAGAGTGAAAGCCCACACACACAGACACACAAGCCAGATGCCTGTATCTCTCTTCGGGCTCCGTTAATAGCACAAAAATAAAGGAAACAGGGGTGATGCGACGCGGGTGCCCTCTGCTGCTGCAGCTCCGTCTGCACATCCGCGTGGCTCTCTCACACCAACAGTGGCTTCCCCATTCTTCTCTGAATCGTCCTAACGAATGACGCCACCCCGTCACGGTGGCGCTCGCAGCAACCAGCGCGAACAGAGTTAGAAATCACTGTGTGCACGATACGACTCTGTCAGGGCGATCCCTCACCCTGCTCTGCCTCCAACAACCAGTCTGCGCTCACACATAGGCATATGCCTTGGTGAAACGAGGAGGAGATATTACTACTACCAACAAGTAGTGATGGCAAGCAAGAACAGTGATGTGTGTGTGTG